AGGTAGGTTGAACAGTTAGTTCCCCAACTATTTTCCCAGCATTTCTTGAAGCGGGCGTCCTACGCGTGAAGATCACCCCATGCGGGCTGGCGTAGCCGGCCTGGTACGATTGTCAAGTTCATACCTGACAGGTAGGTTGGAAAGTTAATTCCCCATATGTCCCTTCTGGTGCTGTTAAACGCCTTTTTGGTTGCTAATTTAGTGGGCGAGTTTCCTTGCGCAGTGATGTTTGTTGGTGGAAGCTTAAGGATTGAATCGAAATGGGAAGCCATGGTTTGGATTTGGATGGGCCTGGGCTTCATTTGAGTTTTGGCAATTCCTGTACTACCCTTCCTGGGGTTGGTTTAAAGGGAAACCAAAATTCAACACCATTATGCGGGTACAGATTTAATGGGGAACCCCACCAAAGTGATCCAAGGGTCACCGGTTTAAAATCATACCCTGTGCATGTGGTGTATAACGTCCATGCCTTCACAGCGCAGTTTATATCTGAAAACACCCTTTGAGCATTTGACGATTTGGGGTGCTGCCAGAACAACCAATCCTTTAGGTTTCTGGGATGTTCGGCTCCGAAGCCGGTCGTTTCCAACTACCGCAACTGGATTTGTAGTTTTGGATGCCGCCTGCTTTCGGGGGGCGCGAATTGGCCCGCCAAACCCAGAGTTTGTCCAAGTCTTGTTTGGGCAGAAACAATTGGGTATGGGTCAAAATAAACCCACCAGAAAAAACCGCAGCTTTTAGTCTCTGGTTCCGTTTATCAGGGCTCCATTTTGGGTACGCATTTTTGACCCGCCAATCAAAACCCGGGCAGATGGTCAGGGGACAGCCCCGGCCACCAATTCGCCGCCTTTCGCCGGCGTTTCGGTTCTGGAGGCATGGGTCGACCATTGGAATACCCATCCGTTTGGGGTTGGGCCAACCTCTTGTCCTTTCTTGAGGCGAAGGGTCGCCTTTTATGGCTCATGTTGTGTTTGGTTCCATATCCTATTTTGAGACCGACCTGACATGTATGAGTTGTTAGTTTTCAAACAACATAGTGGTTTCCCCGTGACGGGAACTCCGTTCTAAGATTCTAGTTGTTGCTGAAGCCAGTGTTGCAACCGCCCCTGGTTGGTATCCTGTGATTCTTCTTTTAATTATTATTTTCAGCACCATCCAAAAGGGGACATCCTCATTTGGGAGGGGCCTTGTTTCGGCTTGTTTTTGAAGCGACACATCAAAGGACCCCCCCCCCCCTCCCCCCAATTTTTAGGTTCCAAGTTGCTTTAGTTGCGCTTCTCTTTGGAACGTCAGTGCTCGGCAAGGAAGTAATGGCTTCAGCACGGAGATTCTTCCAGCACCTCTGATGCATTCTTTGGCTGGTCGCTGGTGTTTGGGACATCCGTAGGGTTCCCAAGAGCCCATGTTTCCAGCCTTCCAACCAGGGAGGAAAGATGGAATGTCACCAATTTGGTGGATGATTGACGGATATCGGGCCTTGTATTTCTTTCAACAAACAACACGGTTTTTGTAGACAGTAGATTCGTTTAGTACCAGTGTGACTCATTTTGGAAGTTTCATTTGTTTTGAGGTGTGGCTTGCTTCATTCGTATTTGTCTTTGACGCCTGTTGCATTCGCAGTGGCCTTGGCGTTATGTTGGCAGGTAGGCATTGGGGCGAAATGTTTTCTTTGATATCATTTTCACATGTTGAGGTCATTAAACATGAGGCCATAATCACGTATTTGTTAGTAGGGAGTGGCTCTGGCATGCATTTCTCTCGCTGAGGTGAAGGAACCATATCCAGATGCCGTAGCCATTTCGCAATTCTTAGGACGCGGCGAGCTTTAGCCTTCGCTGCGGAAAAAGCACAAAGCGCTGGGCGTTCTGGCGCGTTCCCAAGCTGCCGTTCGTCCCGTTCCTTCCTCCAAGCTCACAGGAAGCCCTAGGGCTTAAGGGCGAAACTGGTCAAGCAACCACCTTCTGATTTCTTTTAGAAGCAAACCAAAGTCTGATTCCCTTTGAAGACAACCAACCCCTGATGAACGACCGAAAGGAGGTTGTTTAAACAATTAATTTGTGGTTTGAACATGGGATAAGGAGTTGGCCGAACCCTTCTAAACTCCCAACCCACCCCCCCCCCCCCTACCCTGATCCCCCCCCTGCTCTGGGGTGACTCTCCTGCCTACCCTAACCCCCTTCCCCTGGTTTGCTGCAAAGGCCTTAACAACGGTCTTATAAGGGGGACAAACAGTGCCCGACTCGTTGAGGGAGTCTTTGGGTGGGGTGGTTTGCAGGGCCCCTGGTTCTGAGGGTGCAATGAACTATTCTTTTCACCCGTTGTTCTCTTCAGACACCAGCCACTTTTCCGCGGGGTGAATCAAATCTATCTGAGGACCTTGTGGGTCCGTGTTGATCAAGGCACCCCTACTACATGCCAACCGTTGAAAGCAGGGCAGGAGGCCTTGAATTTGGAAAGATAAGTCACTATTCTTTTGCGACTAATGTTAACTTCGGATTAGTCCTGAGGATCTTCCTAATCCGAGCTCCATCACTTCCATGCTACAAAGGGGTGGTCACCCCTGACTGGCACGGTCCTCCGGGTTAATCCGAAGTTAATAGTAGTTGGACTGCCGTTTTTGGTCCAATTCACGAAGTCCGCATGAGCCAAAAAGAACACCTGTGTGATTTGGGTTCGACTGCTGCACGTTTCGCTTACTTGGTTGTCGCCGTTGGGGTTCGTCCTACACAATTGGGACGACAGACATTGGCACACCGAGTAGTGGGCCCCAACCTCCACCCAGCCTCGCGCCAAGCGCGGCAGGGCAGCTCGTGGTGAGCCGGCCTACGCGGCACGTGTTCTGAGTCGAGGGTTCTGACCGAGTGATCTTGGTGGACCTGTCTAAACTTGGTAGCTCCCCGCCATCCCTTAGCCTTTTAGCGTTTTAGGGTTTAGTGGTTGGGTTACGCCCATGGACCGCTGTGAAGCCCTGGTTCAATTTGATCACTGCTTTCTGGGGATGGGCCCCACAAATGGGTTTATGCATGGTCGCACAAGTTTGGCCTTCAGGGAAACTCTGGACCCAGATGTTCAGCTTCCCCCCAATCGCAGTTTCTGGCTTGGCGGTTTGGATGTCGAGGGCTCTCAAAAAAATTGGTTTCAAAAGGAGCGGTTCAACTCCCAATGCAAACCACACAATTTGGGAGTACCTGAGACTTAGGGTGGGGGGGATTTGTGGCGGGGTGGTGGAGAACTGAACTTTCCAACTCGTATGGTAGCAGCACGAATCAAATGGGGCTATGTGTGGTCTCACTGTGTGCTACATTGGATTATAGCAGTTTCCAGCAGGATTCTAGCAGCTTCCTACAACAAGGGCAAAATCTAGTGAGGCACCATACAGTGAGGCACCATACAGTGAGGCACCATACAGTGAGGCACCATACAGTGAGGCACCATACAGTGAGGCCTAGTTTTAAACGAGCTAAGATGGCAGCGGTCCACATGTTTACGAAGCCAGGTGGACCGGGCTCCCAAGTGGATGATGCGCCAAGCTGGGAGGCGGGAGGAGTTGGGTGCCGTTGGGCTCACATGGGTGGCTCGCTTTTTCTTTTTTTCTTTTTCGGTTGGAACCCCAAAGATGGGGGCAACGGCTAGTTTTGCGGGTGGCTTCCCTTGAAAGAACACCAACAAAAAGGTAGGCTCCAAGCAAAGACATGCTTTGGGATAGACATTGGGGAACTCACTCAACAAAAGCTAGGGTCCCACAAATCGTCCCATGGCCTCTTGGGGGGACAAGTAAGTTTGACGGTGCCTCGTGTCATTTTGTTGGGAGCGACCTTTTGATTGGGTTACAGGGAAACCATTCGGGGAGGCCCTCAATGTTAGACAAACACAATATTCCCGCATGGTACATCCCGAATGAGACCCATCACTCGTGCTGGCCATTCGAGGAATCGCAATCGCCACCGATTTCGGGTAGAATCTAGCGGACTTTCGTCTTGCCTTTGGTCCATTGGGCAGAATATAGGGGGACTTGCTGCGTTTCCCACAAATCACGAGGGGAATTACTCATTCTCCCATGTCCTTTAGGGTACACGCACAGTTTGACAGACCCGCTGACTGACAGGTATTTGCCGGAGTACTTGGCGCTCCCGTCTTGTGTTGTGTCAGTTCCAATCGCGGGACGGGTTTTGAGGCGCGATTCACAGGACAGGTTTGGCTTTGGTTCAACTTTGAAGCCAGCCCAACAAGCTTACTCTCCAGATTCAGGTGTTCCTGCAAAACGACTTGGTTGCTGGGGAGTACTAGGTGTCATGAACTCCGTTCACAAGCAAATTGTTCCCAAGGCAGCCATGACCATGGCTCATACCTTGGGAGTTCCGCTCATTTCTTCCGTGCCAGGAACTGCTCAGCCAAACCGACTTCTTCACCGTTTGCAAGACGTCGCCTGGCGAAGTCTTCTGGAGTGAAGACGGCGATTTCTGAAAGGCAAGAATGTCGGAGTCCTGCAATGCACCTGCAATCCATCAACCCCCAAGTTCATTCTTTGTAAAGGACTGTCCTTGTAGGGAACCCCGATGTTTGGGTTCCATGTTAATTAGCGGAAGGCCACGGGCCCCGTATTGATCACGGTGCCCGCAGGTCGTCCGTCTCATTTCCCCCCGAGTTCGGGTGTCAACATCGAGATGGTTGCGGGCGAGAAAATTGGCCAAGGGCTTCCTTTGGTTCCTTTCAAGGATCTCTGAAATGTTGGCTTCGGGTCATTCAAAAGCAGGATACTTGTCAACTCCCCACTAAGAGGTGAACCAACCTCTGATTAGCATCAGGGAAGGCCGTTTTACACTACCTTATTGAACACATATGGAAAAGTATGCTTCCGTTCGGGGGTATGCCATTGCCAACAGACGGATCCCCAGGAATATCTTGATGAGCGCATGGCGCGTTAGAGCCGTCGCCAAACTTCCACCTAGGGAAAGGGAGCAGCCCAGGCCGGCGCTGGCGTGCGAGATTACTTTGCAGCCGTGCGCGGAAAGGGGGAGGATAGGGAGGCTCAGAAGACTCCAAACATGTCCTTCAGTATTTCCCCCATCTTCAGTCAATTATCACGATGACATTTATGGCCCAGAGGTACATGAGGTAGGTTCTCATGTAGTCAGTTGCATGTTGTACATTCAAGTGGTTGCCAAAGCATGATCCAATCACTGCTTTGGCTCAAGTGCTGAAAACAGCGCGTTGCACCGCGCTAGCCCCAAGGTTAAGGGAGAGGTCGCAGTCACGGAGGGGTTCGTTCCTTTTAAGGTCCCGGGTTCCCCCGTTGTTGACAAAACTGTGTTTCCCTCTCCTTTGAGTGGTTATCAGCCGTAACGCTTTTCGGGTAAACAAACCCTTCCGTGACTGCGACCTGTTGGTCGCACATGGAAGTCGGCCCTCACCGCGGCACACGCGGTGGGAAAGGGCCGCGTGCCCGATTGTACAACACTCTGCAACAGATCGTCGTCGACGAGTACAAGCGGCAGAACAGACGATTCCGGTGGATCAGGTTTGCGGACGCCTCGAAGCAACAGGTCGAGGCGCTCTTCTCCTGGCGTGAGTCACTGGATAGTTGGCACCTGTGGAATTTTGACCAAGAAGCCTTCGACGTGATCCAGGCCGCGGACAACGCTTATCAGCAGCGTCTCGCATTGGTTGAAACCACAGGAGTGGTATTGCCGCAGGGTGCGCCATCTCAGGATCAAGCCGCAGCCTCAGGCGCGGCGGGAGCATCAAGCAGTGCAGCGGACTGGCTTCGTCCTCCGACGCCTCCATCAGCTTCCTCCTGGTTGCAAGATTCGCGCACTCCTTTGCCTCGCATTCGGCCATCTGCAGAGGAAAGACAAGCCGCAAAGTCAACTCTTCGCGGGGTATACGCTAAAGCTGCGGAAACGCGGCGGGAGAGCAGCAGGGAGCGATCAACACAAAGATCGAGGTCCCCATCGCCACGAAGGTCGAGGTCTCCATCAACATCACCGAGACGAGGACCAACTGCTGCTGCCCCTGTGGAACAAAGGGCTCATAGTGTTGAACCCGCGCTTGCGCGGGAGGGAAGGCCATCCAGAACCTCCCTAGCCACTCGGCCCATCGTTTTGGCTCCACAGAATAGCATCTACCCTGTGACGAGGTTTGACGAACACGGTACCTGGGTATTGGTGCGGGAGGCATCACAACCACGTGAAGCGGCTCCTCATCGGCGAGCGCAACGGACGTCTGGGCAGCTTCGCCAAGCCGATCCTTACCTCCTCGCTGACGAGACGTGGAGGGACCCGCCAAGGAGGTCCTCCACGAGCTCACGCTCACGGTCTCCTGACCGCCGCCCGGCGCCCGCGGAGCACTTCCGCCTCGACGCCTACAGCTCGGACGAGGAACCACCGCAAGGCGGAGTCCATCAGGACGGGCAGGTCAGCATACGTGCCTCGGCGCGTTTACGAGGCGCCGACTCACTCCGAGCCCATCGCGCTTCACAGCCGAAGAATCGGGGCAGTTCAACCGCCGCCCCCAAAGGCCGCTCCCAAGGTCATCTTCGGCAGCAAGCCACCGGTGCCCAAGGAGGTCCCCAAGGCAGTTTCTGAGGAAGTCACCGCCAAGGGCCAGATCTCCGGTTCGGACTCAGAGTGCATTCGGTTACAAGGCATCCGCGAGGCTTGAACAAGGCCGAACCCAGAAGCAAATCGAGCTCAAACCCGCCACAATTCGGGTACATCGTCAAGCCGCCACCTCCGCAGGTCGTTCAAGCAGCTGCTGCTAGCGCTGCAACTCCTGAAGCTGGCACGCGATTCCGCTCGCCACCAAGGAGGGCACCGCCTGCGCCCCCGCCGCCACCACCTCCGCCTGGAAGGCCGGTGCCGCCCAAGGAGCTTGTTGTTGCTCTTGACTGGCACGGAGTTCTTGACGTTGGGCAGCAGGGACCCCACCTCAACCCGGAAGTGATCCGACATCTCGTTCAGTTTGCAGCGGACTACGCACCTATAAATTTTATAGTGCTATCCTTCGTGGGCAGGGCTGCAAGCGAGTATCGCCGCCGCGAATTTCAGGTCGCCCTGGAGCACGCGCGGACAACATCTGGACTCACTTTTTCTGCGATAAAAATCGTTCACGAACGGTTGGGAAGGGGAGGCAAAGCAGACGCCCTGCAAGGGCTGGGCGTACACGCCCTTATTGACGATACAGCATCGATTGTCCGTGAAGCTCAAAAGACAGGCATCGCGGCGTTCCGCAATTATCCGCACTTCGGTCCGGGAGGTTTTGGCAACGCACTTGAGAACCTCGGTGAGTTCATTGAATCCCGGAACAGACAATTTATTCCGGCGGCGAGAGGCTTGCATCCATCGCAATACCTCGAGGAACTCCACCGATCTGCATCTCAGCTACCCGCCAGCCGGGTACTTCGGTAGCTATTGCTGCAAGCCGTTAAAACCGTCGCTTTGCGCGGTACAGCTTTTGCAATTACAAGCTTTCGATTTGCAGACAAATTCTCAATACAGCTTGGCAACATCCCTCGATAAAGCACCATAGTGCGGCAGTGCGGATCAATCAATCTACAAGTACAATTACAAATACAGAATTCATCAGGTGCAAAGCAGCAGGGCGCATTTTCTTGAGTGGCTCACTTGAGCGTTTCGCAACGTATTTTCTTGAGTGGCTCACTTGAGCGTGGCGCAATCAGCTGCCAATCCAGGGATATCTCCTCGTAGCACCTTTTGACACGCTGCTCAAAGCGCGTGGAGCTAGCTTCGTGTGAGTGCAAAAGTTGCATTGCTGTGTCATGGCTTCAACGGGTTTGTCACCGCCATCAGAACCCCGTTCAAGGTCAACCCCAAATAGGGATTCTGAACCGGATGACCCTGACCTAGCCATGGTTCCTGCAGCTATGTCCACAGTTCGCACATCCACACCTCAAAGAGCAGCCCAAACACGACCATCATCACCCCCGAGTGGTCCGATCGTGTCAGAACCGACATCATCCGAAGCTTCCCCAGTCATTCAGTTTCCTTCACAGGGATCGCAATTACCTGACCCGATGACTAACGTACCCGCTGCGGCATTTATAGCTGGAGCTGCGGTGCAGCAAGCTCATCGAGCATCCGACCTCGCTGCTCAGGCAGCCAATCACGCCTTGCACCAACAGCAGGCCGCCGATCAGGCGAGACAAGAGGCCGGATGGATCAGGGAAAGGGCTGTTAGAGAAGTTTCAGACGTTAGGGTTCAGGCCGCTCAGCTAGCTTCGCAAGCACAGCAGGCTGTTCAAACAGCACAACAAAGTGAGGCTCAGGCTAGGCAACTCATTGAGCAGACACGACAGGAAGCCTTAGGCCATGTCGAGAACGCACGACAGGTTGTTAATGCCACTCAACAGGACGCTCAGCAAGAGGTTCAACGCATTGTTCAAGAGGCTCAACAGGCAATCCTACAAAGGGAGCAAACCATTGCCAGTCAAGAGCATACCATTCGTGGATTGTCCCAGGAAAATTCTGTGATGCATCAACGACTTGGTGATCTAGAACGTGTTGTTGCGCAGCTCACCCAACAAGCTCGTGCGACCCCTGTTCCGATGCAAGAGTCCCCGCCAAAGCCGCATCAATAGCCGAAACAGCTACGGAACCAAGCGCGGCTAAAGCCTCAAGTCAAGGCACAGTTCCCCCAGGAACCCATCAGCCGGTTGGAGCACCTCAGGTTTCAGGTTCACAAGATGCCTCCGGTGTTGCCGCATCGTCGCAAGGGAATGCTTTTACAAGTACTATCCCCGACCCTCCGTGTGGTTCTGTTCAAAGTTCAGGACTTGGTCACGATGCCCCAGCTGATTCAAGGGACCCTGGTGGGGGTGCAACAAGTCAACATCTCGTAGGCCATTCGGCAGTGCTAGGAGCAGCGTCCTCTGTTGGAGACGCAGCCCCCGGCGCGTCGAGGACTAGCGGGTTGGGTAGAGACGGTCCAAGGGATCAAGCCGATGTGAGAGTGCAAGTGACGGCTTTAGCGGAAATGGTTCAGCAGCTTTCCCAATTGGTTGCTAATCAAGTGGCTCCGCCACCTCCGCCTCCGGCCGCACCACCTCCAGTGCCTCCCATGCCCCTTTTTGGGGCGCCGCCTCCGCCGAAAGCTGGAAACGGCACTCATGTTCCGCCAGTACCAATCACAATGTTGGGAGGGTTATACTCGTCATCCCCACAAGCGCCATCGGCAGCAAGCTCCGACACATCATCAGACTCTGATGGGGATGATGATACCCCACAATGTCGAGTTTGCGGCGGCAGCCATGAAGACACGGATTGCCCATACCTCACCATGAATGGTGGTGGGGGAGGTGGGGGAGGCCCTGGCCAGTTCCCCAATGCAGACCCGTCTCAAGCTGCCGATCCTAGTGTAGGCATGACCGTCACCGATCACGCCACGCATGAGGAATCCGTTGTTCGCGTCAAGGACCTCAAGGATCTCGTGTTGCCATCCCCTCCGGAGAACGCTGGACAGGCTAGAGGTTTCATCAACCAAGTTTTGATGGCCATCGGTCGACTCCAGAAGACCCCCGGAGATGAAGTTTACCAGTGGGCCCAAGCATGCATGTCCTCCACCGAGCAAGAACTCATCGCGGACAAGCGTTTCCCACGGTTAGATCGTGAAATAGCCGCAAAGCTCCTTAAAACCTGCCGTAAAGGTAAGTTCGGGCTCTTGTTTCAGAATATGGTTGAACAAGAGAGAATCTCGTCAGGTGGGATGCCCGTAGGGAGAATCATGTTGCGTGCTATCTTCAAGCACTTTCAGTTAGAACGAGGTAGGCTCGGAACCTTAGGAGGTCGCAACTTGTTAAAGTTGTCTCTTGCAGGCCCGTCCCTTGCTGACCTGGATGCCTTTCGGGAGAAGTACGTTTACGTGCTGACCGCAATTCCCGTGGCAGAACAACCCAGGGAAACAACCTTGTTTGATCACCTGCTGGATGAGCTGGAAAAGTGCACCTCGCTGAAGCCTAAGGTAGAAAAGGCACGGGAAGCCCCTT